TAGAAGTGGGGGTCCATCCTACTCCAGTCTGACCTCATCTCAGCTTAAATCAATTACATCTACAATGACCCTATTTACATAAAGGTTTTATTTGGGGGTAATGAGAGGTTAGGACTTGTACATATGAATTTTGGTAGAATACAATTCAACTGATAACATCAGCCGCTAATCACAAAGCCCCTTTGTTTGAGGACTTTGGAGGAGCTCTAATTTGGATGGCCAATTAAATCAAACTAAACAAAGGTGTTTTAGCAAACCACATAATATATAGCCCAACAGTCAAACACAGGCTCTTCTCTCCTTTCATAGACTGCTGGTATCGCCTTGAGTTCTTTCTCATCTCTTCAGTGTAGAAATCTAGTTTACATATACATGGTTCTTTGAACCATAAGTCTCGGACTGGACTGAAGGTTTACAGTTCTGTGAGTCTATGTGATGTCTTCCTTAGCAATTCACTCATATAGGTATTAAATAAGTAGATGCTAACCAGAATTTAAAGCTAGGATAAGGAAACATGATAACCAAATGAAGAAAGTCAAGAGCAGTTTCTGGAGCTTCCATCCACGCTTTTACATTATTACTAGATAAAGCCGGTTGCCATTGTCTAGACCTCATGTAGAAACAGCTGCAGAAGTTAGCCCCACTGTCGCCTGGAAACACCAGAGTCAGCCTTTGCTAAGGGGCAGTGTTTGTGCAATACTGTCTCTGGTGGTAACAGAGTCGATTGGAGGGCTGCCTCCACACCACTGTAGCCTGTAGCACTGCAGCTGGTACACATACCCCTCAGTGCCTACTGCCTGCACACTGACTCCCCATGAAAGTGCTGAGTAATAGGCCACTTCCTCTGTTTCATTTTCATACTACCCAAACTATGTCTTAAAGAAATGCTTCAAATTTCTTGTTCATAGATCCTACCTTTTCCAATTTTCAGCAGATTTTTCTTGTTTTCTGATTCATATAGCTAGAGTTTTGAGGTGGATACTGAATAAATGGGTGAGTTAGGATCCCCATCTGAGTCTAAGACTCTCCCCATAATTGGATGTTCTGACTCCCTTCTTGGAAAAGGCTCCCTCACCTTACCACCTCCACACACCAGCACCCTGATGAACCTGCTCTCAGACTCCTGGGAGGACCACATAGGTAGCACATTAGTCCCTAATATTAAAGGCCTTTGATGTGGTTCTTATTATAACATGTATAACAACAACAATAGCAACGAGCATTTATTCATGGATTGGTATGCATTCTTAAAATCAGCACAGAAAAGAACAAAAGGAAAAAAACCTATCACTTGATTTTATAATGCATTCCTTTATTTTTCTGTATATGTAAAATCAGGTTGCTATTTTTATTCTTGTTTAACGTAACAAATGTTTTCTTTTTAAAAATGTAATTGTATATAGTGACTGTACATGGAACTTTGTGACACAAATATACATTGTATGCTGAACACATTTGCCCCATCATGCCCCCGGACCCTACCCCATCTCGCTTGTCCCCCTCCCATTAGTCTCTTCTGTTCCCCTGGAGAGCTTAACTTCTAATGTCATGTCATATTTACAGACATGATTTATGCATCTGCTTAAAATCTAGGGACTACTTATTATCTCCAGTTATTCCATTTTCCTGAAAACAACATAACTTCTCTATGTTTAAAAAGCATTCCATTGGATGTATAGACCACATTCTTCTTCTCACATATTCCTGTTGGTAGGCAGTTAGGTTGTCTCCATAATTTAGTTATCATGAGCACTGGTGCAATTAACACTGATGTGCCAGTGTCTCTGTGATATATTGACCTGCAGTCCTTTGGGCTGGTACCCAGTAATGGCAGACATGGGTCACATGTAGGTCTATTTTTAGTTTCCTGATGAATCTCTGTACTGATTTCAACACTGGCGGGACTAGTTTATAATCCCACCAGCACTGTACAAAGGTTTCCTTTGTCCACATTCTTGTCAACACTTGTCATTTGTTTTTTAATGAGACATGGGGCTGGAGAGATGGCTCAGTGCTTAAGAGCACTGACTGCTTTTGCAGAGGGCCTGGGTTCAATTCCCAGCACCCACACGGCGGCTATGAACTGTCCTTAACTCCAGTTCCACGGGAATCCGGAGCCCTCTTTTGACCAACTCCATGGCATTGCACGACATGGGTGCACTCACATACATGCAGGAAATGCAGTCATACACATAAAATAAAAATAAATAAAATATTTTTTTAAAAAACACATTGAGACAGAAGATCGATGTAATTTTAATTTGCATTTCCCTGATGGTTATGGATGTTGAACAATTAAAAATTTTTATTGGCCATTTGTATTTTTTATTTGAGAACTCCCTAGTCATATCTTTAGCCCGTTTTGTGATTGAGTTGCTTGTTTTCTTGTTGCTCAGTCTTTTCAGTTCTTGTGTACTATAGACAGCAATCCTTTTTCAGGTATATAACTAGCAAAGATTTTCTCCATTCCGCAGTCTTAATTTCGTGAAGTACCATTTGTCAGCTTTTTGGTCTTATTTCCTAGAAAACTAGCATCCGTTCAGGAAGTCCTTGCCTATGTCTATATCTTAAAGTGTTAACCTACTTTTCCTCTAACAATTTAAGAGTTTCTGCACTTACATTAAGATCTCTGATGCATTTGGAGCTGTAAGATCTCTGATCCATTTGGAGCTGTGAGATTTCTGATCCATTTGGAGTTGATTTTTGTATAGGGTAAGAGATATGGATCTAATTTCATTTTTCTATGTGTGGATATCCAATTTTCCCAGAACCACTTACTGTTGAGGCAGATTTTTCTCCAATACGTATGTTTCACATTTGTCAAAAATTCAGTGGTTGTGACTGTGGACTTATGCTTGAGTCTTCTATTTTGTTCTATTCTCTGAGCATCTGTTTCTGTGCCAGTTCCATGCTATTTTGTTACTGTGGCTCTACAGAACGACTTGAGATCAGATATGATGATACTTCTAGCAATGTTATTCTTGCTCAGGATTGCTTTGCTATCTGGGGTCTTTTTGTTTCTGTAATAATTTTAAGACTTTTTCTATTTTTGTGAAAAATGACAGAATTTTCTGGAGATTGCATAGAAACTGTGGATTGGTTTTTGTAGTAGAACAGTTTTTCAATATATCCATATGCTCCACAGGATATAGTTTCTAATATTTAGTAAGTACTGACCTTTTCATGCAAACCTGAAGATATTTATTATTTTAGCTTTGAACATGTGTCTTGATACATGATGAGTGCTAAGACATATGGGGGTTTTTAGCATTTTTATTGAATTTTTGTGAATGTCATTCAATATATTTCGATCATACTTAGACCTCCTCCCACATCTACACACATTTTATAGCCCTCCACCAGATTTCAAATACTCTTTCATATATGTTAAGGTCTATTGAATCAAGTTTGTGTCCCCACATGGCCTTTGGTGTGAGTCCATCCAGTGGAGCCTGGTTAACCTGCCTAGCATCTCTGCCGAAGAAAACCAACTCTCCTTCTCCCAGCAGTCATCAGGTGCCAATAGTTTCTCAGCTGTATTTGGGGTTTCTGACATACTTCCCTACTTGGGACTTAGTCTGGTGAGCTTTCATGGGTTTTGTGCATGCTGTCACCTTTGCTGTGAGTTCAACTTCGCAGCTGTCTGGAAAACTCTTGTTTCCTTGTGGTCATCCATCACTTCTGACTTTTACAATTTTTTCCACCACCCTTTTCCACAATGATCCCTGAACCTTGGATTGCAGAACTTTGATATAGGGATAAGCACTCTGCAGTTTCTTATTCTCTGCACTTTGACGAATCGTGATTCTCTGGGCTAATCACCATCAGTTGCATGAGGAAGCTTCACTGGTGAGAGTTGAGGGATGCATTAATGTTCTTTCTGCCCCTTGTTCCACTATGTTCCCAGAGCCTTTGGTATACAGGTTGAATTGTAAATGTGTGCCTTAGGACTGGGCACCTCACAAATACTTATTCTCTATGTCTTACTTGACCAGTTGTGGAACTTTGTAATAATCTCCATCTATTGCAAAAAGAAGCTTCTTTGATGAGTGGTGAGAGGTACAAATGTCTATGAATATAAGGATACATATTTAGACTAGAGAAAGAAATTATGTTGATCTAGGGATGTGAAAAAAGTAGGTTTTTCTCCAGTACCTATGACCTCTCCAACCATGTGTATTTGGCTATGTTTACAGTACCACACATGAGCTCCCTCCCATTGAGCAGGCCTTAGGACCAATTAGACAGCTGTTGTTTACCCCCAGGATAAAAGTGACACTACTGCACCAGTAGAGATTATTTGCTGGACCAGGCATTGTTGTGGTTCATAGACTTTGCACCTGGATGGGATCATTGACTGGTTTTCTCCCTCTGCAGTTTGCATAGTATCTTCTGATACTATGGGGGATTATCTTCAGGGAGGAGGCCTCCAGTTCCAGCTCAGTTGCTCCAAACCCTGTGTCCAAAGCATGTCCTGTTTTTAGGAGTAGGGTCTTACTTTCAAGTTCTGGGAGGCAATCAAGGGCTGTGACAATAGCCTGTGTTATTTTGAGAGTCTCTTGGACTACCTGGCCAACAACTTGAAGGGAGAGTTCGCTGCCTGGCACTGTGGGGTTTTTTGTTGTTTTGTTGTTTGTTTTTATATAGCCTTTAGTTACACACATTCATATATATGTGTGTGTATACACACACACACACATATATATATATATATATTCAGTATACTTTTGAACTAATATACTTTCCTGTTGTTTTTTCACACCACTTAAGCATTATTTATCTTGCCTCTCTCTCCCCTGTATATCACTCCCTATTATCTCCTGGCACAAAGTCTTAATAAGGGCACCTATTAATGTGAAATTGCCTTCCTATAAATTATTTTATCACAAATTAGTGGAACAATTCATTTATTGTGTATTTGTAGTCTTTAATCCTAATTTTAGAGAAGACATGAAAAGATGAAATAAGAGTTATGATGTTCTCTCACTCTGCTTTTATAGGAAGCCTGGAAATTTATGCTAGAGAAGGCAAGAAAAATCATCAAGAAATCCCCAACCATGGTAAGCATCAGGAGGTAGAAAGCCAAATTTTTCCTTTCAAGGCCCTGCCCTCACCACCTGAAGTCCGGAGACTTCTCTAGGTAAAATCCAGCAATACCACAGCTGCTTTGGATTGAAGTAGAAACAATAGCTCATTTCCATTTTTTTCTCATACTCTCCTGCCTTCTCTCTGTGGTACACAATTTCTCACGTTTAGGGCTGGCTAACCCTTCATTGTGATGGTCATTGTGTGCTTTGTGTATCTAGCAGCATTCTCTTTCCTCTACCCCCTGGATACCAGCAGCACTATCCATTCCTCTCCTGCTATGATGGCAGAGATACCTGGTGGTGTTACTAAGTGTCTGCTGCAGGGAAAGGTCACCCATAGCTGAGACCCACTGTTCTCCAATAGACCATTATGAAGAAGGCTGTAGCCTCCTGTCCTCCAGTTTCCAAAAGTGTAACCTCAGATGAAGTGCTTGACATCACTGAGCCTCCATTTTCCTGACTATGAGATAGGAATGATGACTGTGCCCCCCTCTGTGAGAGAAATAATAGAGTTGACACATGCAGAGCACCTGGTACCCTACCCAGAACTTCACACTCAGTGATATGAATCTTACCACCACCGCTGTTCATCTCACTGTCCTCTTTGTAGTGACACTTTCTCAACAGATAGAATGCCTAGCTTGTTATTGCACAGTTAAGTCTTTGACTTAGTCTCTTTTTCCAAGTAATCATTGAAATCCTGACTCACCACCTACACTCTTAATTCTGGTAAATGGGATAAATCAGTCCCAGTTGAAAAGGAAGCCAGATGCTGGTTATGGTTGCAGTAAAGACTCATTGTCCTTGACTCCTCCCTGCTGGTCTACCTCGTCTTTCACCCTCAGGCCATGTGTCTAAGGTATTATTGATTTAGCAACATAGAAACAGAAGGGAGGGAGCTCACTTATGTCAAGGCTGACCAGATTTAGCAAATAAAAATATGGGATGCCCGGCTAAATTTCACCAGTAATTTTTCAGTATGTTTGCCATATAACATATTTTCAGATGACAACCTATGGGGGTCATATGAGTTTTGATGTACAAGGCCAATCCATGTTAAATGGCAACAGGCAGATATTTCTACATAATTGGTTAATCAATCATGATGTCAGCCTCACCAATCTTTACTTAATTCACTGACTAATTAAAGGTTGATTGTAGCTGATTCATCTGTTGAATAAGAAATTGAAACACCACAAGAACTCCTTGGTCACCACCTTCAGAAAGAAATCTGAGCAGAAATGGAGAACAATAAAATTTGTCTTTTACTCTTCTCAACAGGGGTCTAAGACTTAGTTTTAGGGCAATGTTTATTTTACTAGCACAAGCTGCCTTGGCATTTACTCAAAGGCTAATTAAGATTTTACAATTTTTTATTTCTGCCACCAGAACTGAAAGCATAATTGGTGAGGCAGGATTCCAATTTAAAAAGCCAAAAAGAAATTCTACTGAACATTTCAACAATAAAAACAAACCTTTCCCAGAAGTTTATCCCAATTTGGTTTTTTTTTCTCCAAATTAAAACCATCAAGAAAAGAAACAAAAAATGCAAATAAATGTCTTGAAAAATTCTGCTAAGGGGATATTTACTACAATGAATTCCACTTGATGGCTAGTGTAACTGCAGACCTACTAGTCAGGACCAGAAAGCAACGCGCAGCAAACTGCCTATCTTTCACTATAAAAATCTGAACTGGATGAGGCTAGAGAGATGGTTCAATGGGAAAAAAAAGCACTCACTGTTCTTGCAGAGGATCCAAGTGTGGTTCCTAGCACCCATGTTGTTCGGTAGACTCACAACCACCTATAGCCCCAGTTCCAGGGGATCTGACACCGTCTGGCCTCTGAGGGTGCCTGCATTCATACACAAATACCCACACACAGATCATGTGTATGCATGCACATACATGTGATTAAAAAATCAAATTACAGGGATGGAGAGATGGCTCAGAGGTTAAGAGCACTGGCTGCTCTTGCAGAGACCTGGGTTCAGTTCCCAGAACTCACATGGTGGCTAACAACTATCCTTAACTCCAGTGCAAGGGGATCTGACACCCTCTTCTGACCTCCTCCAGCATTGCACAACAGAGGTACACTTACATACATGCAGGCAATACACTCATGCTCATAAAATAAAAATAATAATGTTTTTAAAAATTAAAATTAAATTTTAATAAAAGAATTCTCTTTTTTTAAAAAATCTAGACTGGAGAGAAAGTATGTATTGTTGAAGGAATGAAAAGCTCCAGTAAAGGGACAGCTCTCAGTGAGGCCCGGGGGGTAGGTTCTCAGGAGCATTCCATGCATTTGGAAGCAAACAGTTACTCCAATTATTTAGAATACCTGAATTATGGACATCTTAATTAATTCTCATCTCTACAAAGCAGATAGAGAAGTTTTCTTATCAACCTTATTTTAGATATGAGAAAACCCAGACTCAATGTTTTCTCCACAAAGCTAGCAAGTAAGCAAGGCATCCCTTAAATAATGCAAAACTAGTTATTTCCTGGCTGAACACCCTTTCTGCTGTGCCAATAGCTCTCCAATCAGGCCTCTTCAGTGCTGAACTTGAGGGAGCACCATTCCTTTCACTGTCTATGTGGAAGCTGGAATTACGCTGGGAGCAGCCTGCATAGTTGAGTTGTACACAGAAACACTGTGTACAGATCTACCTGCTCATTACAGACATCTGGGAAAACTAAATAGTGCCTGTGTCCAAGCTCCAGTGCAGCCCAATTAAATCCAGGTAATACTTTACACAAAGAGAGTCAAAAAGCACTTCACCATACAGAAATCCAATTTCAGGTTAGCTATGTACAGAAAAGTTATTAATTCCCACTTTGACTGTTCATTTACATCATTCGCCCCAGTATTCTTTATTCAAACCCTGTTGTTCTGCATCACTTACTGCTGGGTGGAGGAAGCTCAGAAGGGAAGTGGAAGCTAGTTGTCTAACTAGCAAAGTGAGCATGTTAGTTAGCCTCTGTCCCCAGGAACAGCCTAGATTCTAGACCTTCCTTTTAAATGGTTTGAATGCAGTCAAATGCAGCATTCTAAATCCATTCATTCCTGATTTATTAACAACCCAGCAGTAATGCTGAGGTTAGGAAGTCCAGCCTCCTCTCCAATGGACTCTCTGCTCTATTCTTCCTGTAGGCCACCTTCCAACCCCAGAGATAGCCTTTTGTTTTGCTTTTGCTTTTTCAAGACAGGGCTTGAAACTTTCTGTGTAAATCAGGTCAGGCTGGCCTCTTATCTGCCTGCCTGATGCCATCTGTGTGCCATCACACCCGACCTGAAATATTTTTGAGATACAAATGTGACTCCCCTGTCCAACACCTCTAGGATTCCCTACTGTCCTCAGGGTAATATGAAGATGCTTCCAAGGCCTGTCATATGTTTTCTTCTTGCATGGGTTTACAAGGTCCTGTGGTTCACAAAGCTCTAGCTAGGCTGAAATATTTGTTAGTCCCTTAAGATGCCAAGCCTTCACATTTGTCCATAGCGTGGGGTATCACACTCATGTCAGGCTTCTCCAGCTTTGATGCAAACCTCAGGGACCTTCTTGAAGTACAGATTGCCTTATGATAAGTGGAGGCTTTGCCTTTCTCAAGGCTCCCAATCTAGGATCATAACAAGCAACTAGGACCTAGAGCAGTGCTTCTCAAACCTTAGTATCAGAATGACCCTGAAGAGTGGGCTTCAGAATGATCTGAAAATATGAGAAGACAGATTACTAGGACCTACCTTGGGTGCCCAACTCAGTAGATCTGGGAATGAGAATTTGCATCTCTGCAAGGTTGTAGACAATGTTTCCAGTGTAAAGCCTCCCATGCTTGTGCCTTACTTCCTACCTGCTCCTTCCTGCTTAATTTCTGGGTCATCTGCATCCTTTACAAGGTTTCTAGAGAACTCTGTTAATGTCCCCACTACTGTGGACTCCACAGAGAATGCCAAGAACTGTGACCTCCACTCACATGATCTACCATGGTGAGCTGAGGACCCTCTGTCCCTTGCATAAAAAGGGGGTGTTCATCAGAGCTATTCCCCTATTTCTAGAATGCTAGGTAGGAATCACTAAAACCCATACATTCCCCATTTATATTCTAAAATGATTGTTAATTCTCCTTGGCAAGGGTCAAAATAATGCCAATGCCCATTGCACAACTCATAGCCATCTGAAGGACTCTGGGCTGGTGGGAGTCAACTGTCTCCCTGCTTTGATAAATGCTGGTTTGCAGCTTCTACCCTGTGCCTTCCCTCATTTAAGGCAAGCATCATGGAAACCACTCACTTTTTTGCATGCTTTTATTGAATTTTTGTGTATTTCATACAGAACATCTTACTCATCTTTATACCCCTTCCCCCATCCACACCCTCCCATAGTGCCCCACTGAATTTCATACATTCTGTCATTTATGTTAAGGTCTATTCAGTTAAGTTAGCATACCCAAACATCCTTCAGTGCAAGTTCATCTAATGGGGGTCCAGTCAACCTATCTAGAGTCTCTCCCTTAAAGAAGACCAGCTCTCCCTCACTCAGCAGTAATCCATTGCCAATAGTTCTTCAGCTAAGATTGGGGCCTGGTGCCCATTTCCCCAATTCTATGCTGGGTTTTTGTCTGCTTGAGTTTGCATGAGTCTTGCGGATGCTGACAACATTGCTGTAGATTCATACGAGCAAGGTCTCAAGAGCCTGAAAGACTTTGTTTCCATATGGTCATGTATTTCCTCCCCCGACTCTCACAGTCTTTCTCTCCCCTCTTCCACAATGGTCTCTGAGCCCTGGATGGGTGAAGTTTAATATAGGGGTCCTGCACACTCATATTCTCTATGCTTTGGCCTTTTGCAGTCTTTTGTGTTCATTGCCCTCTGTTGTATGAGGGAGCTTAGTTAATAAGAGTTGAGAGATGCATTCATATTCTCTCTACCCCTTGATCCACTATGTTTCGTGAACCTTAGGTGTAGTGGTTTCATCACAGATGTGTCACTTAGGGCTAGGCATCTCACAGACAATTATTCTCTGCATGTGACCAGTTGTGGATTTCTGTAATAGTCTCCATCTGTTGCAAAAGAAGCTTCTTTGATGAGTAATGACTGGCATCCTTGCCTGTAATGCAATGATCAATATTTAGCACAAAAGAATTACATTTGTCTAGGCCTTGATAGCCTAGGGTTTTCTCTAAGATCTATGGCCTCTCCAGCCACGTGCATTTGGCTATATTTACAGTACCATACATGAGTTCCCTCCCACTGAGAGGGAGGGAACTGTTGATTACCCCTAGATAAAAGTGCCACTACTGCCCTAATATAGTTTGCTGTGCCAGTCATTGTTGTGGTTATTAGGACTTAAAGCTGGAGTTGGACCATCAGTGATGTTCTCCCTTAGCAGCTTCCATAGTGTCCTCCAAAGCTATGAGAGGTAGCCTTCAGGGAGGAGGCTTCCAGGTCAGTTCCAGCTCATTGTTCCAAGTCCTGTGTCTGAAGTATGTCCTTTCTTCAGCAATAGGGTCTTACCTTCAAGTTCTGTGAGCCAATAAGGGTTGTGGCAATAGCCTGTGTAATTTTGGGAGTCTCTTGGTCTACCCTGGCCAACAACTTGAAGGGAGGTTTCTCCTATCTGGCACTGTTTCATGTTATATAGCCTTCAACTATACACATGGACTCATGAAAAGATATTGTATGTGTAATTTTTCAATAGGCTTTCGAACTAACGCATTTCCCTCTGGGTTTTCACACCAGCTAAGCATTATTTATTCAATCGCTCCTCTCTCCCTGTCTAACCCTCCCTCCTCCCTTTCCAGTTAAAGTACCCCTTTTCCCCATTTCACCTTTGATAATACCTCTCTCCTATGGTCCCCTCTCTCTTGAACTCCTTCTTCCCCTTTACTCCCATGGAAACCACTAGCTTTTAAAAGCATTGATTACTAATTTGTCATACATCCAAGCTCTTATGACAACCACTGTCTAAAGTCCCTTTCCTCTACACACTGCTCTGTTTCCTGGGGAAGGGGCTGTCCTCTTTCCAAGCCTACCCCACCTCAGCACATCTCTTCATCTAGTCTTCATTTTTTTCTCCACAATAGATTTCTTTTATTTGAAACTGAGGTTTTAAAGGACTTTTCCAAAGCATTTAGGCAGAGGAATAGTGTTCTCTGAGTATAGTTGACCAAAGCAGGCAAGTCCTGTGAAGGTAGGAATAGCTGACTGGATGAGGGGAAGACTGGGCTCTTATTTCAGGAACCATCACAAACCACTCACTGCATGGGAGGCCAAATGAACATGCAGTATGGGAACAACCAGATTCAGGTCCAGTGCTCTGGACTAGAGACAGGCCTTTAGGTGGTAACCATTCCCTACACTAAACAAATCTCTTTTCATTGTCTTTTTTGTTTCCTCAGAAATACCATAGAAGTGGTTCCAGTATTTGTTCACTACCATTTTTGGTCAAGATCTGTCAGAAAATTGAACTGTATGTATACTGTTTCTACTTCCAAACAGAGATAACATCATTGCTTGTCCCATTTTTCTGGTGACTAAAATGATACTTTTAAAAACCATCCTCCTGAAGGTGACCATGTTTCTTGCTCAAAACATGGCTGGTACAGAAACTAAAAGGCAAATCATCCCTGAACAAAATCACTTTGGAAATATGTCAGAAGGAATCTCAACCCCAGCAAGAAGCACCCCAAGGAGACTTTTGGCAATCATTCTTGACACTTGGGGACAGCCCCTTCTTGACATGTAAAATGTGGATGAGGTTCACAGGGACTCAAGTGGAAAGAGGCTGTTTTTCACAGAATCTAGCAAACTGTTACCTGAAAGTCTGGATCAGATATACAGGAACATGATTCCACAGAAAGACATGTCCAGAACACCACAATCCCTAACACCTCCACCCAATCTCATTTTAAATTCCATTTCTCAGGCCTGGGGATGTTGCTTAGCAGCAGACTGTTAACCTAGCTAGCACAAGATCCTCAGTTCAACCTCCAATGCTGTAAAAAAAAAATAAAAAAACTATCCCAAATTTCAACTTCACTTTATGTCTGGACTTAAGCTAAATGTCATAGAATTAATATTCAAAACACTGAGGCAAATAGTAACAAGGGAGGGACACTGGACTGAGAGGCTAAATAGCCTAGGTTTCTCCTTACTCTATGTGTTAGTCGGCTTGCCATTACTGGAGCAAACACCTTTTTCAACTGAGATAATCAACTCAAGGAGAAGAAATGCTTGCTCACAGACTTGGAGGTTTTAGCCCAAGTTTCCACTGTGGCTTTGGGCCTATGGTAGCACAGCACATCATGGTAGGAGCATGTGGCCGAAGAGGACTGTTTACCTCATGGCCAAGTACAAAAGAAAGAGAAGGAAGAAGAGATAAGGGCCCTCAGCACCCTCTGAAGATACACCTCAATGACCTAAAACCTCCCACTGTGCTCCACCTCTTAGTTTCTACCATCTTCCAATAACACCAAGCTGAGGACCAAGCCCTTAGCACATTGGCCCCAGCTACTGCTGATGTGGCCACTGCTGCTGTGAGGTAAGGCTTATTATTATTTCCATTCCATAGAAAGGGAAACGGGATGGAGAGATGGCTCAGTGGTTAAGAGCACTGACTGCTCTTGCAGAGGACCCGGCATGGTGGCTAACAGCTGTCCATAACTCCAGTTCCAGGGTGTCCAATGCCTTCTTCTAACCTCTGCAGGCATTGCATGACACAGGTGCACTTACACACATGCAGGCAATAGACTCATACACATAAAATAAAAATTAATAAATAAAAAAGGGAAACTGAGTCCATTAGCCAGCTCTCTGTCTCTATGACAAAATACTTGAGACAATGTAAAAGGAGCAAAGATTTATTTTGATTCACAATTTCAAATGTTTCAGTTCATAGTCATTTGGCCCTATTGGGCCTGTGGTGGCACAGTGTATTAGTGGAGGAACAGAGAACGGCTGCTTACCTCATAACAGCAAGGAAGGAGAAGGGAGGTGAGGGGAACGGTTGGAAGAGGAGGGAAGCTTCAGGACATAATATACCCTTCAAAGGCACACATACTTTCAAAGTCCTTCCTCTGACTGGGCCCCACCTCCTAATATTCATTCAGCTATGAGCTCAGCAATGGATTGACCCATTGATGAAGTCAGAGCCCCTATGGCCCAAATCTCTCTCAATAGTGCCACAGCAGGGACCAAGCAAGCCTTCAACTCATGAGCCTTTGGGACATTTTATCTCTAAATCATAACACTGAGCCTTAAACAAGTAACTTCTCCCAGGCCACTAGGATCTAAATATACCTCTGGTCGCCAGGGGGATTTGGCTCCATGCATCTCTAATACTCTTTTTAAAAGCTGTTTCTTGAGCCACTTAATGTCTTTGAGCCTTGGTTTCCCCTTATTAAATTATAATTTCCCCTAAAATTAAACTATAAGTTAAATCATTGCTCTATCTTAGGACCACCTGAGAACTTTAAAATCCAGATTCCTTGGCCCCAGACCTAGTGAGATAGCATGGCATATTTCCAAAGTTTCTCTTGTAAGTCTTAGACAATTGGATCCCAAACCTGACTCCTGACTATGTCAAGCAATCACTTTGAAGTCAAGTGAGAGAGTAAAAATACCACCTGTACAGGGGCTGCTTTAATGGCTGTGAGATATTCCTTTAGACCATAGCAGCATCTGCCCCGTCACTGGTTTCCCTTGCTTTCCTGTGGAGCCCTTACTGCTGTTTCCCATTTTTCTGGAGCCTGACTCTCACAGGGAGAGGAGGGGAGGCATAAGAATGCTCACAGGTAAGAGAGTGGAAGTCAAGCCGCAAGTCTGGACTAAAAGGCTGTGTAAGTTTCCTGTAGCTGCTACAACAAAATGCCACAATGCATATTTTCTCAGTCCTAGAGGCTAGAAGTCTAACATCAAGATGAAAGCAAGGCCATGTTCCTCTGACACTCTGAGTAGAATCTTTCCTTGCCTCTTCCTGACTACTGGGGTGCCCATTAATCCTATGTAGATACATCCCTCCAATTTCTATCTCTACCTTTCAAAAACAGGGTTCTCTTTCTTGGGTGTTTGTCTTTAGCTCTTATAATAATGCCAGTCATGTTTGAATAAGGCCAATCCTGGAGACCTCATATTAACTTGATTACATCTGTAAAGACTGTATGTCCAGTAAGGTCATATTCAGAGGGACTGGGGGTTAGAAACTTAACATACGTTTTCAATGAACGTATTCAACCTGTGATAGAACTTCGCCTGTGTTCCACCATCCTTTGCCTCTCAAGCTTCGTGGAGACTGCATTGGCTGAACATCTCTAGTCTGCTGTGAACATATCTGGGAAGAAGAGGAGGCAGCTATGATTCTGACCCACATTCAGTGTCTGTGAAAAATCTAAGAGTTACAAACTTTTCCTGGCTCATCTGCCAACAAGAGCTCCTGCAGCCAGATGGCCTGAATCACAGAAATAGTAGCAGAATCCCTTTCTGTGAATGGGCATAGAGACAGAGAACCTCAGGACGTGGGGAGCAGAAGAGATTATCAGACCTGAAAGAAGATGCTGCAGGACTGAGGTGGAGCCAGCTCCCCAGGCATCCAGTCCTTTCATGTCTGACTTGAGCTGACGTAGGACCCCCGAGCCTCCTTGATGTCCTCATTGCATTGTCTGTGTTAGATATGGTCTAGCAGGATCCAGTGGTGCCAAAATGACAGCTCTTTAATTGAACCACCTCCGAAATTTTGAATCGGAGAATATCTGGGGCCAGGGATTTTCTTGGCCCCAAAGTGAAATGGATAAAAGCAAAACCAGCATGTTTTCCTTCTTTTTAAAAAATTATTGCACTTCAGGTTAACTTGTAACATACCACAGGGTGTTGGGGGATTTCCGATTTACAGAACACATCTAAGTACAGCCTCATTTACTCTTTAAAACAACCTGTGGTTCAGGAATCATTGTCATAAGTAAAAGTGATCTAGTGCTTTCTGTGTACCAAGAACTGAAAATGTTGAGGCAGGGTCCATTGTTGTCTCCTTCCAAACAGGGAAAGTTGTTCTCCCATGGTCACAGAGCTGGTCATGGATTAACTTGATCATTGAACCCAGTCTCTGCTCTCATTGACCCGCTGGACTCCCTAAGGACTCACCTAAGCCTTAGGTGAACAACTAGGTTGTAAATACCTGCCCACTGTCTTGGGCTGTATTAATTTGCCTTGAGGCTCTCAGAACTGCTTAGACACCTTTGTTTCAAAAGACCATCAAGAAATCCCAGACAGGCCCATGCTACTAACTCTAAATTTGAGGTTCTGAGAACAGCCTCATTCTGACTACATTCTTCTACTATCCTATAACTGATTTTCCCAAGTGGAAAGCAGTGTTTGCCATTAGAAGCTGGCAACAGCATGACAGCAGTGGCACAGGGGAAGTCCTCCCACAGAGTGTCCACAGGTTTACTTTGTGTTTGTCATCACACCAATGTCCTTGGCCACTCAGGCTCATAATAGGAGTGAACGTTATTAACTAACAACCATTAAATCTCAAAGATTCTCAGAGTAAGTGGTTAAAAGGAAGTCTTCCATAACAGAATGTGTGAAAGGGTACAAATGCAATTTGGAATGCTGAGGTTCATTGCCTAAATCCAAAGCACAGTCTCCCATTTCCTGGGGACTGTAACATCAATATCCCATGCCCTCTACAACTCCAATTCAATTATTTTGCTTCCCCAAATGGCCCAGGTTAAACAACAGAGAGAAACAGTGCTGTTGAGTAGAGAGCAGAGATCAGTGAAGTGTAGCTGACATCTTACACACCACACAGACTCCGGATTTTATTTTTAGATGAGTCCTCTGTCACATAAACTCAGCACAGCCATATCTGAACATGTTTGTTTTCGCAAACATCAGTTTTTTCTTAGCTCACTGGGTGTTTCATTTTCTTTCTTCTAGGTCTATAAAAAATGCTGTGCCATTCAAAGATGTAGATTCAGATAAATATAGTGTTTTCCCAGTAAGTATTACTATGAATAACAGATGTTCACTGGATAATATATTACATACACAAATTTTGTTCCTTTAATAAGACAATTCTGAATTTCATTTGGATGCATTATTAATGTGATGAACAATACATCACTTCACAATTTTAAGGACTTTTTGATTTCATGAAAATACCAGACATCCAAGTGTAGCTTAGGCCCAGACTTTCTGCTTCCCGTTCTTTCCATTCCCAGGTGGAATTCTCCTTAGAGGCTAGAGTTATCTTAAAGGTGGTGTGAATTACTTTGGAAATTCATAAATTGACTTAAACTCAGTTTGTAAAGTATGTACACAATTGGGTTTCAGTTAGAGTTGTTAGCATGAAAGCCAACAAACAAACCCGCCATGAAATCCCCAAAGGGTGGGAAACCTCGGGACAGAAAAAGATTGACAGGATTTTGATTGTTGATACTTTCAAATGAGTCTAAAACATAAATCCACCCACATGATTCACAGTTGACCTAGATTATTTTTAAATTTTCCAACAAAATAATCACTGGCCAAAGAGATGAGTTATTTTAGAGTCTGAGAAGATTGGTGGTTAACAAAACAATTTCAGGAGGTTAGATGGTCCTGCTGTTTCTGTAGGTACAAATACACACACACACACACACACACACACACACACACACAAGCATACATCAATACACATGCACAGTATGTACCCACATATACCTGCCACAAGCATATACATAAACATACATATAAGTACATGCCCACAAATACACATTCACACCCAAACACTCTACATACAATGTCACACCTAAGCACACATTCAGTTATACACACACTCCCAGCCATCTGTGGTGTTGGTGTTTGATTCCATTTTACTTCACACAGCCTTATTTGTCCTAGTGATCTTCAGTATTTGTGAGCTGTATTTGAATTTAAAACTGCGATGTCAATATCCCTTAGACAGCACTCATTAACCTTTACCATAGGTAGCACTGAACAGAACTGAACCCCTCTTGTGTGTGCTCTTCAATTCAGACGCTACGGGGCTACCACTGGCGAGGGAGAGACTGTAACGACAGTGACAAGACAGCATACCCAGGCAGAAGGTAACTCTCACTGGAGGCAGGAGGCACAATGCCTTCCCCACCCTGGCAGATCCCATTTGCAGAGAAAAGGTCCCTTCTTTCATCCGTGCATGCATTCATTTTTCCAACTATGCTTACCAAGGACCTACTACTTACAAAACACTCCATATCATGCTAAGCGCTAAACAAAGTAGAAGTCTGCCCTTCTGAGGCACTGACAATCTAGTAGGAGAAACAAATTGTGTAAACATGATTGTCGACATTGATACAACCTCCCCAAGTGAGTTCTACCTTCAAAATGGGTCCAGGAGTTGTGGCAAGGAGTAGGATACAAGTAACATAAAGCACATCCTGCTTGTGTCCTGGCCAAATGATCAGTCAATCATAGTTCTGCCTGCAAAATATGGATATGCCATCCTTTGCTTACGCTGTAACCAAGAGCATTAGCTAGCCTGATGTTTCCACATTTTAGAGGCCCAATTTTAATGACTTCATCTCACTAAGAAAAATGGACTGCAGGTTTGTTTGGTATGTTCATCACACAACACAATCTGTGGAAACATTCAGTCATGGAAGATTGGATTTGGCCTAGGTTCCCAGCAAATATTCTAAATCAAGGTGAATGTCAAGGCCAAGTAGAGGCTTTTGTGTCACAGCATATTTGCAGTGCTCTTCCTTGAAGAACACTGTCGGCTTACAGTGACATTTCCTGCTAACTGAATTAACATTCCATGAGGAGTAAGTATATTCAAAAGACCAATGCTGACGTTTTCTTCTTAGGCCAGACAACTGGGATGTCCATCGGGATTCAAACTGTAATGGCATTTGGGTAAGCAACTGAATTCAAACTTAATACCATCTCTTACTTTCTGCCCTCCCCCAATGCCTATTTGCTTGAGTCATACAAATAAGGAAGGAGATACAGAATTCCCATCACATATGAAGAGCAAATGTCGGTGCCATGAGAGCTGAGGCTTCGTCACTCACAGCCCATTTAAGTCATGCTTGTAATCATGGGTATCTAATCCCTTCATTCTGTTGTAACAGTGTGATGAAAGGTGAGGTGGTGTTAACAGTTTTGTAGCACCCCACACAGCTGTTGGAACGAGCCACACATTGTCACCATTTTGTTACGTCCATTTTGTTTCCTTTATGAGCCTTATCAAGCAGCATGGTATCTTGCCAGGTACCATACCACCCATACCTCAACGCTTCTGATTCTCTTGCCCTAGTTCCCAACAGACACTGGATTTTCAGCTTCCAAGAAGGTAGAAAGCAACCAAACACGGGCAGCAGATCCATGCTTTATAATCTTAAATTTATGATTTGAGGATCCTTGTGGAGAAAAAGAACACCAACTTACAAGCACAAATTCAAGTGTAAAAGTAAATAATTACTTAAAACCACAAAAGAAATCCTAACAAATTCGAAATTTGCGTCACTTTCTTTTTCCCCTAACACAAAGTACTTACATGGAAATACATCCTGCTGATTGAAGTAAGGCCTCTCCTTTCCACCTAGAATCTTCTAGAGTTCGTAGACACTCCTAGAACTCTCAGGCAGGAGTTATACAAACTAGGGGCCTTGGAGATAAAGATTCCTGGCTTCATTTTTCTGCTTAGATGAAGAGAGGAAGGTTCCGTAAATATTTTTCTCTCCAGGACACCAACGGCCCAGGTGATAGCACCAGCAATCACCTCCTGTGTGCATCAGGTCCTGCGGCTTTGGGGATATGGAAAGCATGACAGATAACTGTGCCAAACTCACCCACCCTACCCTCAGTCATGTCACCTTTTTATGGGGGAAGAAGAACTTTGTACTAGAGCTTTAAGGTATAGAGAACTCCCAGTAGCTCTTGTTCTGATAAACCCAAGCTTGGTTTTCATGCTGTAGGACAAAGGGAGCTGATCAGCGTGTGGGGGTGCCATATATTTTCCAGTGTCCCACCACTGCTTTTGACATGCTATGTCATACACCCCACCCCCTCAATAAGGAGGAGGCCCTGCAAAGGCCAAAGGAAACCCATCACGAACTTGGGGCAAAACCTGGAGCTCATCATCGCTAACAGGAGAAAGACACCTTATTGTCATCTGCTGTCCTCATAGCTGTCCCTTTCTGCAGAGGAAAAACTTAATCAGAATCACAAAGGAATAAGAAGGAAATGGCAACCATCAAGGCTAATACTGACCAGTGTCCACCAGACCCCAGTGTTGAGTGTGGTATGAACAGGAGTGGAGGGAGGGGCTTTGCCATCCAGTTAAGTACGGGGAAGCACAGGGACAAATAAAGCTGAACAGTTCCCTTTCCTTCTGGACTTTGCAGCATAATGTTTTCATGTGCGTTTGGAGCCTTTGGGATCAGGGGAGCAAGCTCACTCTTTCTAACACACCTCAGATCACCAAGCACTTCTTTCTTAGAACATTATTAATATCCCTTTCAAGGGACAGCTGCTCTGCTAAGGAGTTCTCACCTCAGGTGGTAGGAAGTTTTGACTCAGTCCCATTCAGGGGGGCAACTGCCCTTCTGGGTTTCTTTTCTTCTCTTCTGAAGAATTTCATACATGAGTACTATATTTACATCATTTCCTCCCCCTCCAACTGTTCCATGCCTCCTCCTCCAACACAGTTTCACGACCTCTTCTTTTATTATTATTGATACATATACATACATATAATCTACCAAGTCCATTTAGTGGTGCATATGTTTAGTGCTGACCACTTGGGATTAAATAACCTCTCAGGAAGCTGGTCTCTGAAGAAAACTGATTCTTCTTCCTTCAGTATCCATTGATTAACTATAGCTTTTAATCTAAAGGTGGAACCCCATGAAATTTCCCCATCCACATTTGCATCTCCACTGGTGTTGTCGTTATGCAAGTCTTCTTTAGGCAACCATACTATTGAGATTTCATGAGTACAGTTTCCCCGTCATGTGCAGAAGATGCTATCTAGCAGCAGGCATCCTGGTCCTCTGACTCCGACAATCCTTTCTTCCCCTTTTCTGTAGTGTTTCCTGAATCTTGGGTGTAGGTGTTTCATTGTAGATTTACTAATTAGGGGTGGACACCTCACAGTCATTTATTTTCTGCATTTTACCAGTTGTGGAACTTTGTAATAGTCTCCATCTGTTGTAAGAAGATACTTCCTTGATGAATGGTGAGAGCTACGCTTATATCTAAAGATTTGTGTTTCTTAATCTTGGAGTTGGCAACATTTGTGTTGGATAAGTCAGAGTTATCGTCAGAGTTGTCGTATAAACTATGGATGTTTTACAGTCTCCTTTGACTTGGTCCATGAGATGTCACGAGTACACCCCCCAACACTCCACTGTGACAACCAAAAGTGTCTCCAGACATTTTCAGTGTCCCTTGGCTTGAACATGGGATGGGAAGGTGAAGAGGAAATTAGCCTGGATGAGAATTAGTGCTGAAGAGCATCCATTATTAGGTGCTAGAGATGATGGGACACTGCTATCCCACTCAGAGACTGTGAAACACACCCTTGACCTATATCCCTGAGACTCCCTGGGCCCTTAGTTTTCCAAGAAGGGTCATTCCTGGCCTGACCTTTCTAGAAGCCTGCCCCTGGATCCCTCTGAAGGAGCAAGCCTCATTTCTGAATCTCTCCCTAGTCTAGCCCCAGGTCCTCTTAAGCCCAGTTCAGTATGTTGAGTATTGCTATGTTGGATTAGGGACCCATGAGGCTTGAAAGGGTTTACCTACTGATTTACCTTTATACTTTTAAAGTCAATTGGGAAGGGTAATATGTGTCTCATAAATTTAAAAACACACTGCTAATCTCTTCATTTCTCTTTTAAAGGGTATTGATCCAAAAGATGGAATTCCATATGAGAAGAAATTCTGTGAAGGTATGAACTAAAAATCAGTGTGCTTATCACAATAGAAGTTCTTTTCCTGTTGAGTCAAGTTGAAGTGAACAGACTATCTCTGTGAGGAAGTGCCTGTGGCTAACAGTTATTTTAAAGAGACCAATTAATTTTTTTCAGAACAGATCAGAAAATGACATGAGAAAAGTATAGAAAAGGAGGCAGAATCTAGAAAATGGAGAATTTAAGTTGCTTAATTGGTTGCTTTACTTGGGGAATGACTGCCTTAATGATACTGTTAGGAAGGACTGTAGGTTGAATAACAGAGTAATCAAAATCTGAAACTTTCCCAAATAAGGACACGAGAAATTTTAATCATTTGCATGTCCTTTTCAACACACCTCAGGGTCATCACCTGGACTTGTGCTAAGGGGACAGCCTTTAAAGTTGCATATCTCAGTGACTTACCAGAGAAGCCAAGCTCCAGCCTGCAGGGGATTCCAGAAATAACTTAGCAAAAGCTCTGTACTCTAAAATCTCACATGTCCAGGCATCTGAGTCACCAGTGCTGAAAACACACTCCAGGGGTTCTTAAACATGACTTAAGGTAGCACCACTCTTTTGTTAGTCCCTGCTTCTTTCTTCACTTCAAGAAGCTTTTCATTCAGTCAGTCATTCACTCATCAAGTATTTCCTGGATAACTACTCCAAATTTATACCAAGGGCTCCACTTGCTTCTGCATTTTCAGGGCCAAAAAACATGCAGTGTGTGTTGGATAGCTTCAGTTGTCAACTTGACATACCTGGGTGGAGGGAGCCTCCCCTGATGAATGGCCTCCATTGGCTTGGTCTGTGGCCATGTCTGTGGGGCATTATCTTAATTGTTGAGTGATGGGGGAGGGCCCATGCCACTGTGGCTGGTGCCACCCCTGGGCAATTAGTCCTATGTTGTATAAGAAAGTAGGCTAAGTACAGGCCAGGGGAACAAGCCAGTAAGCAGCAGTAAGGTCTGTGCTTCAGCTCCTACCTCCAGGTCCCTGCCCTGAGTTCCTACCTTGACTTCTCTCAACAATGAACTGGGAGATATAACATAAACTAAATCCTTTCTACACCAAGTTGGTTTTGGTCACAGCAATAAAAAGCTAACCAGAGCACAGTGTTTAACCAGGATCAACAAAAATCTAGTTAAGTAGATAACTAGATTTGCTGAGGGACAAAGGAAACGGATAGGAAATGCAAAAGCCCACTGCATACTTATGCCATTTAGAAATGTTTCTTGAGTGACTAAAAGAATGAATTTATAACCATAAAGTTGAGGCAGGAAATTGCAAGTTCAAGGCTTGCTTGAACTATAGAGTATATTCAGACTGGCCTTGACAACTTAATGAGACCCTATCTCAAGATAAAAAGTAAAAAGATGACTGGGGATATAGCTTAGTGGTAGAGCACTTGCCTAGCATGTGCTAAACCCTAGGTTCAATCCTCAGTACTATAAGAAAAAAATAAAGTTGTGAATAAATGTGGAGCTGGGGAGTGGCTCAGTGCTAGACCACTTATCTAGTATGCATGAAGCCATAGGTTCAATCTGCAATAAGAATAAGAATAAGAATAATAGATGCAGATATAGATCAAACCCTGAGCCTTCCCGACTCACTGTAAGAAGCCCTCTGGAATCTCTATATCCTACCACCTTGCCTACAGAACCCTATATAGTTAAGCCATCCTCTGGCTTCACTCCAGTGATTTAGGGATGGAGAAGAGAAACTCTCTCTCTCTGCCTCTGGGAGCATCATTTGATTTTTCCAGGCTCTTAAGGGATTTAGAAGGGCATATCCACCAGCGAATGATTTGTGTAGATGGGTCTCAAAAGCCATCCTCTGGCTTCACTCCAGTGATTTAGGGATGGAGAAGAGAAACTCTCTCTCTCTCTGCCTCTGGGAGCATCATTTGATTTTTCCAGGCTCTTAAGGGATTTAGAAGGGCATATCCACCAGCGAATGATTTGTGTAGATGGGTCTCAAAAATCAGATTAAGTGATTCTTACCTCCAGACATGCAGGCTGCATAGAGACCTTTCTATCTCCATCTCTCCATTAATCAGCCAGAATTGACCATCCATTGCCTTTGTGTATGTGAATTAAGGGTTTTAAAAGACCATCACATCTTTAAAAAATCCAAAATTGCTCCATGAGGTCATTAACTCTTAAAGAGCACTGGTGTGTTTTCTAAGAAAGCCATTTCCAGAGCCAAAATGTAGAACATATTTCTGAACTCAGCTCAAGTTTTGATTCATCTATTCATCCATCGTCCATGCAGGACCCTGTACAGCAGTTGCTTTAATGCTGAGCCAGAAAGCACACCTTCATTTGTGCAGCTTAGTGACAGTCCAATGGCACAGAAATTGCATTTTGCTCCTAAACGCTATGCCCCCCACGCTCTCCAATGCATGAAAAGTGGCCGTGTGTCACTGTTAGGATGCACTGTACATGGACTATACACCAGACTATCTACTTCTTAACTACTCAGTCTGGAGCCTCCCTACTACTTGTGTAAATAATGTAAATAAATTGTGTGTCCTAGGTTCCCAGCCCAGGGGAATCATTTTGCTGGGAGACTCAGCTGGGGCTCATTTTCACATCCCTCCAGAATGGCTCACAGCTTCACAGATGTCTTTGGTAAGTAATTTTGGCAGTAATCATCCCGGATATGCTGGCCCTTGTTTTTGTTCCCCTTACTCTCTCTAAATGTGGTGCCAACTCCAAACAGGTGCAAATTTCCCTCCTCAGCAAAATCTGCTGTGAGAGGCCCATCCACAGCCATTTCGGGTCTAGGCAAATTCAGGCAAAGGGTTTCTTCTTCTCGATTCTCTAGCCTCAGACATGGTGAAGATGGCAGGTGAGAGTCAAGACAGTGGCCAGTGCAAAGAGGACACAGCCATGCACTGGCTTCCCATGGACATCAAAAGGAGCATGTGGGGCCTCTCCAGCTTCAGTGCCATCTGCAAGTAAGAAGAGATGGGGCTGAGCAGCCCCCTGGGATGCACCTTATGGCCACTCCTGTATCCCATCAAAGGGTGGCAGGGAGCAGAGAAGCCTTTCATCCTTTGTGGAAGAACAGAACAGTCTTGGAAGGTTTTTTGAAGAGGAATCCTTATGGCCACTCCTGTACCCCATCAAAGGGTGGCAGGGAGCAGAGAAGCCTCTCATCCTTTGTGGAAGAACAGAACAGTCTTGGAAGGTTTTTTGAAGAGGAAAATGAAAAACGTCCTAGTAAACAATGATACTTTAAACAGCAGGGAAAGGGGAGAGGGGAAAGAAGCCAACAGTTATTGACTCTCAAGCATCAGGCACTATAAGAGGAATATTTATGTGTTAGATGAACACAGTCAATACTCGGTATCTGCCAGCTCCACATCCATGGATTCAACCAACTACAGATAGAGAATGTAGTTAGGCCTCCACTGGCTGCATCTCTAATGAACATGCACAGACTTTTTTCTTGTCATTATTTCCTAAACAATACAGCATAATAACTATTTACATAGCACTCACATTATATTTGGCATTAAAAGGGGGTGTTTTCAAGTATATGGGAGGATATATGCAAGTTATATACAAACACAGCACCATTTGATATATATGGGAGTTGAGCATCCATAGATTTTGGTACCCAAAGAGGCTCTGGGTGCACCCTTCACAGACACCAAGGGACTACACTATGAGATGAAGTACAAAGCAACTGTATGTTTTCAGTCACTATCTGAGTACACACCTGCCAAATTATCTTCCCCCTTAAACTGTACAAACACCTTGGATTTATGTGGCAAAGACTGGGAGCAGGAGACAGCAGGAAAGAGCAGTCTGAATGGCATACACCCGAACAGTGGGGCCCAGAGGGCACTGCGTCATCTGCAATTTCTGATGGTTAGAGTTGTCACTCACAAGAGACTGTGCCAATACCTGTGCCAAACCTATCTATATATCTGGTAGGGCCTAATGCAAAGTAAAGGTATAGGTGCCTTTATTTAAAAGCAAAGTAGGGGCTGGAAAGATGGCTCAGAGGTTAAAAAAACAGGCTGCTGTTACAGAGGACCCATGGTCAGCTCCCAACACATATATCGTGACTAACAACCATCCATAACTTTAGTTTCTAGGAATCCAGCACCCTCTTCTGGCCTCTACGGTCATTGCACAACATGGGTGCACTTACATACATGCAGACAAAATGCTCATACATGTAAAATGAAAGTAAGTAAATATTTTTAAAAGCAAAGTAGAGTCGGGTGTGGTGATGCACACTAGTAATCCCAGCACTTGGGAGGAACATCAGGAATTCAAGACAGCTATATATTGAGTCTAAAGCCTGGGCTACATGAGACATGGACTCAAAAAAAAAAAGTTCCATTAAAGACACTAAAATATAAAATTCTCTCCTTTCCACTTTTTGGCAGTCTCCTCTTTCTCATGGTGATTTTTAATTTGCTATTTAACATCTAACAATTTTTTTTATTTTTTAAAAGATTTTATTTTTAAATTTTTATGTGTATTGGTGTATTGCTTGCGTGTATGTAAGTGCACCTGTGTCATGTGATACCCATGGAGGTCAGAAGAGGGCATTGGATTCCCCTGGAACTGGAGTTACGGATGGCTGTTAGCTGCCATGTGGATGGGAATCAAACTCGGGTCCTCTTTAAGAGCTGCCAGTGCTCTTAACCACTGGGCCATCTCTCCAAACCCCCACCCCAACAAATTTGAAATCTTAAATTGCCAGTATTTTCTGGTCATCTTTATACTATGCAATGCCAATTTTACATACAACAGTAAGGGTATTGAACCCATTTGTGAAACTGCCAAAATTCCACAATTACTTAGCAGATCATCCCTGGAAATTTCTTTGAGCTGCTCAGAATGGAGAAAAGCAAGCCTGGCTCAGGAAGGCTGGAAGGTGGTACAGAGGACTCCCAGAGGCACAGAGCAGCCGGACTGAATGCTTTCTCAGACCTGGGCTACCCAAGGGCAAGTGCAGACCTTCACAGCCCCTAGGGGTCTCATTCTGAGACACTCAGGTTTAAAGCTTTCGGGGTCCTGCCAGTATGCCAGTGAATTTTAGTCCAACCAGATGCTTTCCTTGCTCAGGACTAGCCTCCCCTGGCCTACAGCAGGACAGGCTAAGTACGTGGACAGGGGATGGAACTCACCTCTTCTGCCCACCAGATGCCAGTGCTGTGAGGAGGGGACAAGCTGCCACCATGCTAACACAAACTTTTCCCTTGCTTGTACCCAGTTTCCCACAAGAGCCAGAGGCAATCAAGGACTGTAGTAATAGCCTGTGTAATTTTGGGAGTCTCTTGGACTACGCTGGCCAACAACTCGAAGTAAGGTTTCTCCTGTCTGGCACTGTTTTTTGTTATGTAGCCTAGACTCATGTAGAGATATTGTATGTGTAATTTTTCAGCAGGTTTTGGACTAATATGATTGCCCCTGGCTTTTATACTAGCTAGGCACTATTTATCTTTCCTCTTTCTCTCCCTGTCTTATCCTCCCTTCCCACCCTTCCCATTTAAAGTGTCCCCATTTTCCCCATTTCTCCCTTGATAATTTGTGTCTCCTATGGTCCCACCTCTCTTGAGCTTCTCCTTCCCCTTTACTCCCATCGTTCCTTGTATAGCTCTCTTTCTCCCCCTCTCATTTAACTACCTCCTTTTTACATGTCTCCCTTAGTAACCGTCTCCCACTATTCTTTCTCGGGTTCCTTCTTTACCTCCCTGGTTCCCTTCCATTTTCCTGGTTCCTGCAGTTACATCAGGATATGTACTCATAAGGATTTGGTGCTAGGATCCACAAATGAGGAAGAACATAAATCTTTTGTTTTTCTGAGTCTGTGTTACTTCACTTAGTATAACAGTTTCTAGATCCATCCGTTTACCTGCAAATTTCATCATTTCATCTTTCTTTACTGCTGAATAGAGCTCCATTGTGTAAATGCACCACATTTTTGTTAACCACTCACTTAGGTTGCCTCCATCTCTTAGTTATTGTGAAAAGAACAGCAACAAACATGGATGTACAAGTGTCTCTAAAATAGGATGAGTTCTTTGGGTCTATGCCAAGGAGTGGTATAATCGGGTTATATAGTAGGTTCATTTTAGTTTTCTAAGAATTCTCTACACTGCTTTCCATAGGGATTGCATGAGTTTGCAATCCCACCAGCAGTGGATGAGTGTTCCCCTTTCTCCACATCCTCACCAGGATTTGATGTCATATGTTCTCTTGATCTTAGCCAGTCTGACAGGGGGAAGATGATACCTTAAGTTGGTTTTAATTTACATTTCCCTAATTACTAACAATGTTGAACACTTTTTAAGATGTCTCTTAGCCATCTTTATTTCTTCTTTTGAGAACTCTCTGTTTAGATCTTTAGCCAATCTTTTAATTGGATCATTTGTTTTCTTGTTTTTTGTTTTTTTTTTTGGTTCTTTATATATTCTGGATGTTAAATCTCTGTCAGATGTATCATTGATGAAGATTTTTTTTTTCCAACTCTATGAGTTTTCCCTTCACTTTCTTGATTGTTTCTCTTGCTGTATAGAAACATTTTAGTTTAATGAGATCCCACTTGTTGATTGTTGACCTTATTTCCTGAGCAATGGGTATCCAATTTAAAAAGTCCTTTCCTACATCTCTATCTTATAGGTTACTGCCAATGTTTTCCTCTAATAGTTTCAGAGTTTTGAGTTTCACATTGAGGTTTTAGATCCACTTGGAGTTGACTTTTGTGCAAAATGAAAGATAAATATCTAGTTTCATTCTTCTGTAGGTGGAGATCCAGTTTTGGCAGCACCATTGGTTGATGATGCTGTCTTTCCTCCATTATGTGTTCTTGGCACATTTGTCAAATATCAGGTGGCTGAAATTGTGTATATCCATGTTTGTGTCTTCAATTGTGTTCCATTGATCTATGTGTCTATTTTTGTGTCAGTACCATGCTATTTTTATGACTATACTCTGTAGTATAGTTTGAGATCTGGTATAGTAATCCCTCCAGCATTGCTCTTTGTGCTCAGGGTTGCTTTGGCTATCCAGAGTCTTTGGTGATTCCAATATAAATTTAAAGATTTTTTTTCTAGTTGTGTCAAGCATGTCATGAGGATTTTGAATGGGATTGCACTGAATCTATATATTGCTTTTGGTAAGGATGGTCATAATATTAATTCTTCCAATCTATGAGCATGGGAGATTCTTTCATCTTCTGGTGTCTTCCTCAATCTCTTTCTTTAAAGACTTAAAGTTTTTATTTTAGCAATCTTTGATGCCTTTGGTCAGGTTTATTCTGAGTTTGGTTGTTTTTTTGTTTTGTTTTGTTTTGTTTCATTTTGTTTCAGAGGCTATTGTGAATGTGAAGGTTTCCCTGTGCTCTTTCTCTGATTCCTTGTTACTGGTATATAGAAAGGCTACTGATTTTTGTAGATTAATTTTGTA